CTCTACTATCTTTCGCCTATTATTGCCGATAATTTCCTGTAAATGCCGTTCAAATGTTCCTCTGCAACACACAGCTACACGGTCTACACCGCACGCCGCCGCACATTTACACATAATCTCCTGATAATATATATGTATATTATAATATTATATTATATTATATTATATTATATTATATTATATTATATATATTATATTATATGTTATATTATATATTATATTATATATTATATTATATATTATATATATATTATGTGTAAATGTTGGGCGGCGTGCGTGAGGTGTAGCTGTGTGTTGCAGAGGAACATTTGAACGAAATTTACAGGAAATTATCGACAATAATAGGCGAAAGACAGAGAAACATTAAGACTTGGGTAGTAAATACATTTCGTGTTTATTTACCATTATTTTTTTTGTTGAGACGTTTCAAGTGCCTGTGTTGCTGGCACTGTCATGAATTTCTGATGCAGCTGTAATTGATTGAAATACGTTAAAGCTTTGGTTAAAGCACACTTACATGTGCAATAATAAATATCAGGAACACTAATAGAAAATCACTGAAAAAGTATAGTGCAGAAATAAGACCGTAAATAAAATTAAACAAAAACTTAAAAATTCGTGCCCTGGGTGAGGATCGAACTCACGACCTTCAGATTATGAGACTGACGCGCTGCCTACTACGCTACCAAGGCGGACACACACTGCTATATATAATCTAACATTTTACATATTATATTACATCTTACAGTATACTATAAGTTTTTTACTTGCTAGAAGTAATTCCCCGAAAAAGAAAATCGTCGAAGGAGATGTTCATGGTAAAATCCAATCTCAGAATTTCACTTCGGCCTCATCATCCCGCCATTCCTTGCCCGGTTGCCGCTTTGCCGCTATGTTAAAGTTCATGAGCAATGGCGACGCGAGCACAGACACTTGGAGCGTTTCAATAAAATATAATGCTGCTGCACACTGACACATAAATATATAGATTACTACGATAGAAAGACTATATATTTATGTGTCAGTGTGAATGTGACCAGATTGGCAGATTTGTGACCTAACTAGCTTTGGTCTAGGTAGTTTCTCAGCAATATTAAATGCCCATTTCATGCCCAGACGCCTGTCATAGGGTATATCTAGCCCGACCAGGCTGTGCGACGGATTGTCTATACCCTAGCAATACCGTTTCTTGGAGCTAAGGGTATATCATGCCATGGGTATGGGCACAGGCACTTGGGACAGAGTCAGTCAAAACTGAAAATAATATGAACGCACATTCACAAATAGGCCCTATACTAGGCCACTACTACGTACCGCTCATAGGGTCTATGTCCCCCAGGGTACTGCCGGAACGTACCCTGGGTACGGTTCGGTATACCGGAACGTACCTGGTAACTATTTGATATGGTACGTAATTAGGGCACAGGCACTTGGGACAGTCAGTAAAAACTGAAAATAATATGAACGCACATTCACAAATATGCCCTACTACCGTCTAAAGTCTAAACTTTATATATATATCATATCATATATATATACATATATATATATGACATATACATATATATACATACATACATACATGTATATATATATACATATACATATATATATACATATATATCATATTATCAGGAGTAAGATAATATACCGCTCATAGGGTCTATGTCCCCCAGGGTACTGCCGGAACGTACCCTGGGTACGGTCCGGTATACCGGAACGTACTCTGGGGCCTGGTACTATCTAATATGCCAGACCGTACCTCGCCTACTTCACTAACGAATTTAGGGAGTCGCCTACGCCTACGCCCTAACCCTAACCCTAACCCTTTGCCCTAATCCTAACCCTAACCCTAACCCTAATTCCATATCAAATAGTTACCAGGGTCCGTTATACCGGACCGTACCCAGGGTACGTTCCGGCAGTACCCTGGGGGACATAGACCCTATGAGCACCACGCAGCTGCCACTCCGCAAAGGTTATATCAGAAGTAAGATAATATAGGAGATTATATATAATATATAATATCCTATATTATCTTACTAGCTCCTGGTTATATCATATCAGGAGCAGAATATATGTCCCGCACACATGGAGGATTACAAAAATCAATACTAGACTTTGCCACCTCAGGTGGTACCAATAAGTGATTTTTTTGTATCTGGGCCCATGCACTAATAAGTTCGACAGAAAGAATTATCTTGGCTGATAACGCGACCGGGGACACGAAGCGGCATTCCATCAAGAGCGTATAAAGAAGGTACCGGTATAAATAAATAAATATATCCTTCTTTATGAGTTCTTGATTCCATGTATATTTACATAGGAGAAGGATTGTGGCGCGATGCTGCGACCAAAGTGAACGTTTTAGAGCCGATTTTACCATGCACATATTTCTCGAGCATGCCCCTGTCCATTTTCAGCGCGTATGTTTTGGCAGAAAATGGCAGAATCTTGGCTGGCACCCGACCAGCGACGCGAGCGCCATTCTATGTACATTAGCATAATCAGAAGAATTGTGGCGGGATGCTGCGGCCAAAGTGAAAGTTTTAATACGGATTTTACCATGCACATCACTCCCGGGCACACCCCTGCCCATTTTAAGCGCGTAAGTTTGGTCGAAAAATATAATCTTGACTGGCAACGCGACCAGCGACGAGAGCGCTATTCTCCATTGTCGCGAAGTACAACACGCAATAGAAGTAGAAAAGCAATTGCACACCTGTCGCTCATCGCCTTAGCCACCAAAGACAATGCTTCTTGGCCGATCTTATGCGCTTGAAATTACGGTATATGCCGTAAAGAGGGTATGGCCAAATGAGAAGTGCATGGTAACATCTGAGTTTTAACGGCGATTGCGCATGTGTCAGTAATCAGTTACGCGCTCCACCACCGACAACGACAACGACAGGCGGAAAGATTTCAGAACTAACGACTGACTGTAGTAACTTGTTTAACCCAGCTAAACTTTTCTTATAGACAAAATATATGTATGCATGTCCTTTACATATCGTACGTAAACAGAAACAGTACTCGTATACACAAACTTTTAGGAGGTAGGTGATCGACCGGTAATTTTATACTGTGATCTGTAAGTACAGTATTGCTCCGAATTTCGGTACATCACAGAAATAGCATTATGAAATAGACACACAGGCACTTGAAGCGTTTCAATAAAATATATACGCAGGGGTCGTGTGCTGTGCACGGCGACAGTTAAATATATATTTTATATTATATTATATTATATTATATTATATTATATTATATTATATTATATTATATTATATTATATTATATTATATACAAATTATATATTATATTATATATTATATTATATTATATTATATTATATACAAAAATATAATTATATAAATAAATATAAACTATATATTTAACTGTCGCCGTGCACAGCACACGACCCGCCCCTGCGTATATATTTTATTGAAACGCTTCAAGTGCCTGTGTTATGACAGGTAAATACTCTGCTGCTCCGAAAATCGGCGCACCACAGTAGCGTATCCGAATCTCGGAAACAAATAGTATTAGTAATTTTAGTCTAAAGATTTTAGTATCTGCTATGTCCGGGACCGTGCGCACTGCGACACGCGACACTGCTATGAGCGTAAATCCCCGTCTCCGAATATCGGTAGATAGCACTCTAAACGAACTTGTATATACTTAATCTACGGGAACAGAGTTGCTCCGAAAATCGGAGCACGTTCTGTTACTCCGAATACTGACTAATTACTAATAACTTGTAACTAATAACTAATAACTAATAACTTACTAATAGCTGAATACTTACTCCGACTGCTTGACTCCGACACCTCGGCGTCAACCACGCCCGACAGCGCGGCTCCGAACGCGGCACACGTGTGTAAATAAATCCGCGGCATACAGTGCTCCTGTCAAGGGTTCCGAATATCGGAGCGCCAAGACGGAGAGTCTAATATTACAGTGCTCTGCAAGCTATAGGTAGGTGGCTCCGACTTACCTAAGGCCTCCTGTTATGCTCCGAAAGGATAAGTCCTGAAAAGGCCTGTGTTCTGAAATCCGTAGAATGATTGCTCTCTAGCGCTTCCCTGCCGATTTTTATACGCTGCCAGCTGGTTACTCGGATGGACGCCCAGCTATACTTAGGCTACGTGGGCGTTGGCCACCTGTGACCCCTTTTCTTTATGTAATTCCATCAAAGTTATTTCTATAACACCAAGAAATATAGCATATCACATGTTGAAATTTTAGGAGTAATAATAGTGAAAATATATAGTTATACACTATTCTAACACTTTTATGGTAATTTTATGTGAAAGCCTTTGTTTACAATATAACTGCCTCCATACCCGTTGCTAAGTCATACAGTCGGCAGTGAAAATGACTATAAATTTTAAGACAAAAAAGGAAATATGCTTATCACATTTTGCAACCGAATATATATATACCTACGCCTAACCCTACCTAACCCTTTGCCCTAATCCTAACCCTAACCTAACCCTT